TTTTAGTTCAGTATAACCAGCTTAAATTATTATAAAAAAATCCGTTCTGCCAAATCTGGTTCGCTATAACCCGATTTCAGTATAAACAGGTTCGGTATAAAAAGAGTCAACTGTATAAATTTTAATATTATATTGCAACTAACTCATTTCCTGGTTATACTTTAATTTTAAGAAAATGGCGCGCTATACAATGGCAGTAACGTCTATTTCGTACAGTCGTTCCGAAATAGGCGGATGGATTTATAAATGGATAAATATCTTCGAAGAAAGTGGAGATATAACGAACTTTGTCGACTCAGTTTTGGACCACATAGCGTCAGTAGTAGCTAAACAAGGCCCGTATATTTTTAGTGCATTACTCGACCCTCGCTATCTATCCAATGAAAGAAGTATGATTCGCGGCACAGAACTTTCATTAGTATAAATACGTATATCATCGATATCCCATTATTTTAGTATAATATAGATGTTTGATATTTCTTGAAACTCATTAGAAGGCGTGTTATTATCTATGCTGAGAAATGAATAACGGATCAAGTAACGTGCTGAGCCCCTATTGAACTCCCAATACTTTATTCATGCGCTTTAAGCGCCACCACTATAGAAAAGGGAAGTTTTATGTCGTTACAAATAAGGCACAGTAATATATGTTTCGCCAAAAATTTTCAATATTAATTTTTGTTTTATTTTTTTTACTTATTTGAACCTACCTACACATTTTTCACAAAATTTATTATAAAATGCACCTATTATATGTTCTTTAGAGGTTTTTTTTATAGTTTTACATATAAGATTTATAATTTAAGTTTTTGCACATTAGGGTTAGTACTTAAGGTTAAATTTAGAGATAGGCCGATGCAGTGTTAGAGATCTGAAACTTTTTTTTTGTTCTCTGAGAACATAAAATTTAAATTTTAGGTTCTCAGAAAGATTTTTAATGTTCTCAAAAGTTTTTAGATATAATACAATTTACAAATTTTATGTTCTCAAATGAGAACATAATTTTTAAAAATTGTGTTCTCAAAAATATTTTAATGTTCTTGAGAACACTGAGAACATTAGATATCTAACACTGGGCCGATGGGCTGCGCGTCCATGCGCATTTTTCTTATCAATGTTTATATATATATCATACAATATTGGAAGCTGATTTGCGAACTAATAAATTTCACCCTCATGTGATAACAATGGCAGATTTAACACCTCGCAACTCAGGTTTCACTCTATTGTGTAATTTAAAGACATTTTCTATTATAATTTAAATATTTTAAAAAAAATTATTTACATTCAACACGAATAATTAGCCTTTAGTAAATTTTGATTTTCTAATACCATTTCGATAGCAATAACTAACTTGAAGCATTTCGTTAAAATTTCCCATTTCAGCTGATTTTTGGTAATAAGAAAATGCTTTATCTTTTTATCGTTGTAATTCAATGCCGTGCATTATATAATGACAACTATATCATAAATTTAAACATAAATAATCTGATTGATGAAAACTTATCATTATAGGGGATTTATCAGTATAATTGAATTTATTATTTACGCGAAAAACTCATGATAGTAACGGCAGTGAAAATAACTCAAAGTCAAAATTTGGTGCGCGTTGCGCATAAAATTTTAAATTCAATGTGCGCAAAGTTCGATACAGTAGAGCAGAGTTAACTTTATAGAGCACACTATTTTAAAATAATTTAAAAAGTTGCGTGCGCTTTGCGCACACGCGCACAACGAATTTTTCACCGAGTAACTGGCTATTTATACTTGGAATAATAAAAAAATAAGGATTTGAAAATTATATTAACAGAGGTACGAAATTGTAAAAACATATTATCAAGTTCAAAGGTCACTTATAATCAAAGAATGGCTACTGATATAAAAAAAATTATCTATATCTAATTTTTATACAGAAATTCATGATATATCACAGTACATTATTCAATGTGCGCAACTTACATCTATTTTTACTCGTGATTGTATAATTCAGTATGATAACTATTCAGTCTGATGAATATATTTTCAGATCATAATTCAGAATAACTGTTTCTTGATTTTTTAAATAAAATTTTGGTTTTGTTTCAATATTTTTTATTTTTATTTTTTAATTTTTAATTTTTTTTTTAATAAATAAAGCAGAATTGCAGTTTAAGATAAGGTTTAAAAAAGATCTCTGCATACAATGTTTTTTGAATATGTTGTAGGCAGATGCAGGACATCCATAACTTCAGAATTAATTTGATTTCGGATCTTAAAAACTTAAGTGTAGCAGAATTTTATATAGCTAATTGTGTCTTTAACGACTATTTAAATGGTTTATTTCTCAATATTCTTTTATATACGTTTTTAATTATTTGATCAATAAATATTTTGGAAGAAAATTTTTATTTTATCAACAGACAATATTATTATTGCAAAATGATACATTATTTACGGAATTACACTATCTACAGTGTAAATAAATTCATGCTACTAGGACTTATTAACACCAAAATTTAAGTTTGTCTATGCTGCAATAATTAATAAATTTTTCCGCATATTGAAAACATCTGAAAATTGTCCAAATAGTTTCATAAAATCGACCGAAAAATTTTAATATTGGACGGTGAACGTTGTCTAATTTTAAATGGAATACTTATGAAAATTTATCTGGCAATCTGGTCGGTTTATACTATTTGTCATCTTGGCATACTACTTTCTGTCTCAAAGATTATCAAATGATGGCCATTAGCTTAATAGGTTATCAAATAATTGTACATACAGTTGACCCTCTCAAAACCGATCCTGTCAAAGCCGATAACCTGTCAAATCTGATAAAAAATTAATCTGCCAAGTCCGTTCCCGTTATATAAATCTATTAGTTTGATATATTTTCAAATCCGATAACCTCTTAAAACTGATACAAAACCTATCCACCATGCATACCGATTCTGAGAGGTCAACTGTATCTTACTTTTATACAATACCTGAGGGTTGAATAGGACGAGACAAAAAGCCCAAATAAGGTTGACAGAAAACTTATAAAATGAATTTCCTAAATTTTTAATATTACATAACGATAATAACATTTATATTTGGTTTAAATATTGAATTCCTACAGTATTTAAACTGGTTTGAATCCAAAAACCATCTAGGTAAAAAAGAATTCAGAATAAACTTAAGTTGGTTCTGAATCTATTAATTTTTAATACCCATCTACAATATATATATCGGCTTGATACTACTTAAACTTTGTCAGTTGAGATATTCGTCAATTAGCACTTTAGTGCATATTATCGTGAAACTTGACAATTTATTAAAAATAATATTGTTAAAAATCTAGTTTGCGAAGAATCTATCATGATTTTTCAATTATCAGAAGCTATAAAATTGCTTAGAAACGAAATCTACATATCAGGCAAGTAAAGGTATATGAATTTTTTGTGGACAAATATTAAACCCTAAAAAGAAATATACATTCTACATTTTTTCAAATTACAGTACATTTTCTATCACTCATTAATATTCAATTCATCCATATTTAACTCATTCATTTCACTATCTGTTAAATAGTTATAATTAATATTAAAGAATAAATCTTATATATTATAAAATAATAAATATAGATACCTTGATAAAACAATGTAGTATAGCTAATAAGTTTACTTTTATAAATATCATCAGGATACACCTGTATATGTGTACTATTAATATTTTTTAATACTTCATCCGATTTAGTTAGTTCTAATAAAATATTTTCGTCCTTCATCCATTCTGTAAGGATTTCACAAATTTTTATTGCTGATGGGCGGTTAATTGCTTCCCTTTACCAACATTTTTTCATCAAATTTATATAACATTGTGTCATGTTCCCAATAATTATTGGCCGCAAATCATTACGGCATATTTCTATTTGAAGTCGTTGCCCAAATTCTTGATTATAAGATACAGGTTTTCCATATAATATTTCCCACATTAGTGGTTGGAACCGGTTTTATTTTTATTAACCGGTTTTAGTAATTTTTAAAAATCAAAACCGAATATAAACCGG